CCTAGGTATTTGTGTGTTCTTGATTTTAATATGTTGGGAGGCCAATTTTCTCGGAGAATATCTGTTTTGGGTTAGGGGTCATGTTTAGGACTAAAGTGTGATTTGAGTTTAGATTGGGGTTCATTTTAGGTATGATCCTGCAATGCTTTGGGTTAGGGATGCAGTTAGGCTGTAGAAATGAATGGAAGTCAATGGAAAGATCCAACAAAGATATTGACACAAGTTTGTGGTTTATGTTTTTGTTCCTTCCCTCCATAAATAAACACAGACTCCACCCTGGTAAATTTCGTCAGGAAACCTCAAACTTAGGTGGATTTTTGTAGCCACTGCTCAGCCAGTAGCAGTCTTACTCTTTCACTCACCATACAGCTCTGGCTGATAAGGTCCCTGAACTCATCGAAGACACTCCAATACAGAAATGTCAGCATGGAGCAAACCTGCTGACACGTGCAGCTGACCGATGTGCAGCTGACAGTGACTGCCTCCTTGTTGCTACCTGAGCCTCCATCTGATCCCTCCCACGCAGGTCCTGTGTGTCCTGGACATTTCCTGTGTTGCGTGATTTTCCCATTTTTATTTCTAACTGCTGCATTTTAGTTTCTGCAGCAGTAAAAATAAAAAATGATTTTTTTTTAGCATGAACAGTCCAATAAATTTAGATAACACTGTTTATGGTGGGTCTTAATGATATTAACAAGTGTATAACTGATACATAAACACATAATAGGAATAATGTTAGAGTCACGTTTTCAAGTGTGAACTGGGCAAGAGAAGAGGGAAATAAAATATCCACAGCTTTAGAACACATACACTACCGTTCAAAAGTTTGGGGTCACCCAAACAATTTTGTGTTTTCCTAAAAAGTCACACTTATTCACCACCATACGTTGTGAAATGAATAGAAAATAGAGTCAAGACATTGACAAGGTTAGAAATAATGATTTGTATTTTTTTTTTACATCAAACTTTGCTTTGGTCAAAGAATCCTTCATTTGCAGCAATTCCAGCATTGCAGACCTTTGGCATTCTAGCTGTTAATTTCTTGAGGTAATCTGCAGAAATCCCCCCCCCCACGCTTCCAGAAGCAGCTCCCACTAGTGGGATTGGTTGGATGGGCACTTCCTGCATCCCATACCGTCACGCTGCTCCCACAGCAGCTCAATGGGGTTCAGATCTGGTGACTGCGCTGGCCACTCCATTACCCATAGAATACCAGCTGCCTGCTTCTGCTCTCAATAGTTCTGCACAATTTGGAGGTGTGTTTAGGGTCATTGTCCTGTTGTAGGATGAAATTGGCTCCAATCAAGCGCTGTCCACTGGGTATGGCATGGCGTTGCTAAATGGAGTGATAGCCTTCCTTATTCAGAATCCCTTTTACCCTGTACAAATCTCCCACCTTACCAGCACCAAAGCAACCCCAGAGCATCACATTACCTCCACCATGCTTAACAGATGGCGTCAGGCATTCTTCCAGCATCTTTTCATTTGTTCTGCGTCTCACAAACGTTCTTCTTTGTGATCCAAACACCTCAAACTTGGATTCATCCGTCCACAACACTTTTTTCCAGTCTTCCTCTGTCCAATGTCTGTGTTCTTTTGCCCATCTTAATCTTTTTCTTTTATTGGCCAGTCTCAGATATGGCTTTTTCTTTGCTTCTCTGCCCTGAAGCCCAGAATCCCGCAGCCGCCTCTTCACTCTAGATGTTGACACTGCTGTTTAGCGGGTTCTATTTAGTGAAGATGCCAGTTGGGGACCTGTGAGGCGTCTGTTTCTCAAACTAGAGACTCTAATGTACTTATCTTCTTGCTCAGTTGTGCAACGCGGCCTCCCACTTCTTTTTCTACTCTGGTTAGAGCCTGTTTGTGCTGTCCTCTGAAGGACAACACACGGTTGTAGGAAATCTTCAATTTCTCGCATGGAATAGCCTTCATTTCTAAAAACAACGATAGACTGTCGAGTTTCAGATGAAAGTTCTCTTTTTCTGGCCATTTTGAGCGTTTAATTGACCCCACAAATGTGATGCTCCAGAAACTCAATCTGCTGAAAGGAAGATCAGTTTTGTAGCTTCTGTAACGAGCTAAACTGTTTTCATATGTGTGAACATGATTGCACAAGGGTTGTCTAATCATCAATTATGTTGGGATCCAGAGGCTTGCCCACCAGAGGGCGCAGAGGATCCCTTCTGGATTGTTTGTTCATCTGTTGGGATATGGGGTGCTATCTACCTTCCTCCACCAGAGGGCGTACTGGATTTCCTGAACCTGGAGCTGCCTTCACCAGCTGACTCTCATCTGCTCATCAGGGGACCAGTACTTAAAGGAATAGTACACCCAAAACATGATTAGCCTTCATTTTCTACTCACCCCCATGCTGAACAACACTCTGGAGTACTTTTTTGATATCTCAAATGCATCTGGAGATCTGGGAGGCTTCTTGCTGTCTGCTGACATTCAAATAATGGAGGTCTATGGCGCCCGAGGCAGAAAGGTCCATAAAAGTCCACAAAAAACGTGTCAATATTCCTCCATACTGCTCGTCCAATGTATTCCAAGTGTCCTGAGTGGGTAGCATCCAGAATTTACTCGAAACGAAGTCATTTAGAATGTTTTTAGAGCATAAACAGTAGTGTATAGGATTTCCTGAAAGCGCGCTCACGACGCTACGGAAGCCGGCAGACCAAACCAGATGAAAGTGCGCATTCAGCGTCTGCTCTGCCAATAATGCAAGCGTAGAAGAAGAAATGTGCTGTTTACCTGTGCAAAGAAAGAAACAACGAAAGAAAAATGTCTGAGGACTTCAGTGTTGAGGAAGAGCATGAGTTCTTTGCCGAGCTGAATGCGCACTTTCATCTGGTTTGGTCTGCCGCGGTTTCCGTAGCGTCGTGAACGCGCATGTGCGCGCTTTCAGGAAATCCTATACACTACTGTTTATGCTCTAAAAACATTCTAAATGACTTTGTTTCGAGTAAATTCTGGATGCTACCCACTCAGGACACTTGGAATACATTGGACGAGCAGTATGGAGGAATATTGACACGTTTTTTGTGGACTTTTATGGACCTTTCTGCCTCGGGCGCCATAGACCTCCATTATTTGAATGTCAGCAGACAGCAAGAAGCCTCCCAGATCTCCAGATGCATTTGAGATATCAAAAAAGTACTCAAGAGTGTTGTTCAGCATGGGGGTGAGTAGAAAATGAAGGCTAATCATGTTTTGGGTGTACTATTCCTTTAAGTGGGCTGTGGACAACACCCCGACGCCAGAGTGTTTGTTAATCACGGTACAGCAACCCTGAGCCAACCAGCCTGTCTGATTCTCTGACTCCACTGTAACCAGAACCAGAACCTGATCAGTTTTGTCTTCTCTGCTTCTAGGAAGAAACCTGACTGAACCCTGGGACTCTGGAGGAGTCTCCATTGCTGAAATCTGCCTGCCGCATCTCAGGAGCTCTGGAGGAGCTCGTCGTCTGGAACTTTCCTGCCTGTTCTCAAGGGGAGAGCTAGAGCAACTCATGGACAGATTCTCAACTGGTCAGAAGCCTAGCCCCGCTGCTGTCTAATTCTCTGCTCATTCCCCAGTCTCTGGACTCTTTGGGTTTCCTCTCCCAGCCTGAAGCACAGATCAGAGAATTCTGTGTGACCAGCCCGGACTCATTCAGTATCAATACTATAACCTGGAATGTGTTTCCTTAAATAAACTGTTGAACTTTTCATCCTGTCTCCGTGGTGTTCTGCGTTTGGGTTTAGCTCCCATAACCCAACATGACAAATTAGCCTTCTGAGCCAATGAGCAAACACATTGTACCATTAGAACACTGGAGTGATAGTTGCTGGAAATGGGCCTCTATACACCTATGTAGATATTGCACCAAAAACCAGACATTTGCAGCTAGAATAGTCATTTACCACAATAGCAATCTATAGAGTGTATTTCTTTAAAGTTAAGACTAGTTTAAAGTTATCTTCATTGAAAACTACAGCGCTCTTCCTTCAAAAATAAGGACATTTCAATGTGACCCCAAACTTTTGAACGGTAGTGTATAGGAAATAATAGACCTATTAGCATCCTTAAAGTAGGAAATATTAACCAAAAAAATTCAAGCAGAAAGTGAAGCAATTCAATTCAGTTTATTTGGATAACAAAACCACCAGTGAAATAAAGTTGGTAGGTTACCTTCCAACAAGCAAGAGAAGGTCTAGTGGGTTTTAAGTGTTGGTGCTGTTCTGTGTGAAAGACAGAGACACCAAAACCTGCCTTACGTTGATTGGTTTATATTGGAGCATCAAAGAAGCTTCTGCTGCTTCATTTCTAATGCTTGTCCACATTAAGGTCAGACGTCCAGTAAAGTGAGTCCAGATGCGTCTGATGCTTCTGCTGCTCCTGTGTTCGACGCCAGAGAGCAGCTTTGCTATATTAGCTGTGATCAGCGGGTAGAAAGTAGTTAGAATCTATGTTGAAGTGAGAAAGTCCTCCTGAAAACATGGTCTGTGCAGTCAGTTCATCCAGATTACCATCCTGCCTTCAAAGATTATTTCTCTGTGGGAGCCGCTCAGACCCCCACATACCGGCGCTGCGCTGTCACTGGGAATCCCCAGCAGCAGCTGCCTCAGGCCCGGGAGCCTCTCCAGGGTTTTCCCCTCCTGTTGGTGGCGGCTGGAAGTAGATGTTAGCGTTTTTCAGGTCTGTGCTACAAGTTGATTGATGTGATGTGAGCATTTAGCAGCAACATTTCCATCTACAGTATCAGCTGCTTCAGAGAACTGTCATTCGCCTCAGAAATGCTCATGAGGTTCTGCTTCTGCTGCTCCAGATGCACTGCGGGACCTTTTGATCTGCCTAGATGCGCTTCAACCATAAGCTTTGCATGTAAACCAGCTGCTTCTGCAGCTCAAATCACTTTTGGTGTGAATGTAGCATCAGAGTAATGTAACAGTACATAAATAGTGTTTTCAGCCATAAGTTTTCACCCATTTGTATAAAATGTATGTCTGTGCTCATACCTTTCCATACTGATCACTGCTGGCCTGTCGCAGGCTGATGCACGGTGTAAGGGTATGGTAACTTGGGTTGGAAAAATAGTTGCTTGGGTGGGTCTCATATGATGGAGTGTGAGCCTCTAAAAATAAGAATGTAGGATTAGCAGATTGTTAGCAGAGCTTCTTTTATGATTCCATAAAGATTTGGATCAAAAAACATATTTGGATGTTCTGCAGACTTAAGAGGATAGTTTCAGACAACACAGGAAGTCTGGTACAGCGGTAGGTTCTCTGTTGAAAAAGTTCATACGCAGCATCAACGCTATAGTTCTATTAGAGGTTGTTCCCAGGAGATAACATCTACAAGACATTATCTTTAAACAGTATCTGTAAACAAATAGATTAGTACTTGAAGCCTGTAACTGTTAAGAACCATTTAACCTGTAATAGACATTGTTTGATAATTTTGCATGTTTAGAGAACTAATTAGTTTTTAACCAATAAATAACTGTAATTTACCTGTCAATGCATAAGTAGGCGTGACCCCGCTAGCAGGAGTGTAAGTTACAGCGGGCATGGGGCTCTCTTTGCTCCTGTGTTTATGTCTATAGATGATGAAGAGGAACAGGAGAAGAAGCACCAGGAAAACTAGAACAATGATGCCTGCAATGACTCCTATTTGGTAGAGGTTCACATGTTCAGCTTCGCTGGTCAAGTTGTTGAACCTTTCAGTCACAACTTCGCCAACTGCAGAAAGAGAGAACAAAGGTTTCACTCTATTACATTAACCAGACAATTCAGGTGTGAACTAGATCTCATTGGAAATGATGACCTCTCCTAAAAGCTGAGGCAAATAAAAAAAATCTATAACATTACTGTCTCACTAAATGTCAGGACTCCTGTTTTTGTGTCTGTGTTTCTGTGTTTGTCTCCCTTCCTCCACCAGGAGGCGCCTGGTTCTGGTCCGCCTCCTCACACACCTGCTGATGGTTTCCTCGTTAACGGAGCGTTCTTAAGCTGCTGACTGCCACTACCTCGACACCAGAGTGTTTGCCAGTTTAGGGTACACTAGCCAAGCTGAGTTTGCTGAGTCAAGCTAAGTTTTTGTCAACCTGAGTTTAACTTTGTTTTTGTCTTTGTCTCTTGGCAGGAAGTCGTCCTGCTAACTGGATCTCTTGGACCTTCTCTCCCTGGAAGGATCAGGTGAACTTCAAACTGAGCTGGGGTTCAAACAGGAGGTTTGGATCCACCTTCCCAAAGAGATTGTTTGAGCTTTCCACTGAGAAAGGGATTATTCTCCACTACGACCCGTTCAAGTACTGCAGGAAATCTGAGTGGCAGTCAGTTTCTCCTCTCTCCAACTATCAGCCTCATTCTGGGAAAAACCTGTTCCACCCTCCACCGAATCAGACAAACACTGGAACTACGGCACACAGACAGGATTTAAGGATACAACAACTTCTCTGGAAACTTGAGTCGGCGACCAAAACAGCTTCTCCAAGTTTCACGAGTCAAATTCCCCACTGAGCCTGAACTAACCGCTTTGTCTTCCCCTCACTTTACAGTTCCGGTTGAGCTGTGTTCAGAGTTACACTTCTTCCCCTGTTTTACTTCTTCAATAAAACCTGTTAAACCTTTCCCCTGGTCTCTCTGTTCGGTTATCTGCATTTTTGGGTCAGAACTTTGTAACATCATGACACTAAACACATTAATCCACCAGGTCCTTACTCTCAATTTATAGAGTTTTCAGAGTTCCTTTCTGATTTGGTATTAAATACTGACAGGGTCATCATATTGGGAGATTTTAACATCCATGCTGACATTGAAGGCGGTAGCTTAAGAGCAGCCTTTAATGCTATCTTAGACACTATTGGCTTTGTTCAAAATGTGAATAGTCCCACACATTCTCATCTGTGCTGACATACGGCATAGAATGTGAAGAAATAATAGTATTTCCACAACCCTGTCCTCTCTGACCACTTTCTAATAACCTTCAGGATTACTTTAACAGAGTTCTCCTCCCCCAAAAGAAGGTTCCATTTTAGTAGATCTTTATCAGATAGTGCAGTTATAAATTTTAAAGAATCTGTTTTAATTACTCTCTCCTTTGTGTTGCTGAGCAGTGCTGCTGAGTGCAGCAGTTTAGTTTATTCCCATTCAGAGTCATAATCAGGAAAGAAGGACCCAGTATTCAGCAAGAAGCCCATCCAGGTCAGGAGAAGAGAGAGCAGGCAGGAATAGTTCACCATTCAAGAAACCTCCACTCTATCAGAGGTTTTCCACCCAACAGGAACAGCTGGATCCAGACGTCCATGAATCCACAGAGCTTTCAGGCAGGTTCAGAGTCCAGAGTCAGACAGGTGCAGAAGCGTGCCCACACAGAAACGCACAGAAGCAGACAGGTAGACTCTGATACAGACGGGCAGGCTCAGTGGTTGAGGGAAGCAGAGACGAGATGTTCCAGGATTTATGCAGGACTTTAAACTGGTCTCCTCCTAGGAGCCAAGCTTATGGGAATAAAACCCTCCCCACGTTCCAAGCCAAAACCCTGAGGGCTCCGTGGAGAGGGATCAGAACAGAATCAGAAGATGAGACAAACATGAAACCTCTCAACCCCTTGGCCTGCCAGGAACCAGGACATGAACCATGGAAGAACTAAAACCCAAACAGACTAGCAGAAAACAAATAATGATCTGGCCCCGATCGCTCGGGCTGAACCAAATATAATGCCACAGACACAGGTGGATGAGATGAATAATAATTAGAAAACCAGGAAGTGTTAGGCAGGTGAGTAAAATTAACAACTTAAGCTGAGCCATCAGAGCAGATCATGACGCTCACAGGTTGATGATTTTGTTGATGGGGTTACTAGGTCTCTGTGTACTGCCTTAGACAACGCAGCCTCTTTGAAAAAGAAACACTTTAAAAATACAAAGCTGGCTCCCTGGTTTAATGCGGAGCTGTGCTTCAGAAAAGGTGTATCTATGTGTGGCTGGATTTTGTGGTGTATAATTCATAATCTCATTAAGTGTTTTCCATATTGATGAACATTCAGCCACGGCGTTGGTTTGGTCTTTGTCTGGGAAGGTCTGGTCCTGGTCTGGTCTTGGTCTGGTCTTGGTCTGGGAAGGTCTGGTCTTGGTCTGGTCATGGTCTGGGAAGGTCTGGTCTTGGTCTGGGAAGGTCTGGTCTCGGTCTGGTAAGGTCTGGTCTTGGTCTGGGAAGGTCTGATTTTGGTCTGGTCTTGGTCTGGGAAGGTCTGATCTTGGTCTGGGAAGGTCTGATCTTGGTCTGGGAAGGTCTGGTCTTGGTCTGGTCTTGGTCTGGGAAGGTCTGATCTTGGTCTGGTCTTGGTCTGGGAAGGTCTGGTCTTGGTCTGGGAAGGTCTGGTCTTGGTCTGGGAAGGTCTGATCTTGGTCTGGTCTTGGTCTGGGAAGGTCTGATCTTGGTCTGGTCTTGGTCTGGGAAGGTCTGGTCTTGGTCTGGGAAGGTCTGGTCTTGGTCTGGGAAGGTCTGATCTTGGTCTGGTCTTGGTCTGGGAAGGTCTGATCTTGGTCTGATCTTGGTCTGGGAAGGTCTGATCTTGGTCTGGTCTTGGTCTGGGAAGGTCTGATTTTGGTCTGGTCTTGGTCTGGGAAGGTCTGGTCTTGGTCTGGTCTTGGTCTGGGAAGGTCTGGGAAGGTCTGGTCTTGGTCTGGGAAGGTCTGATCTTGGTCTGGTCTTGGTCTGGGAAGGTCTGGTCTTGGTCTGGGAAGGTCTGATCTTGGTCTGGGAAGGTCTGGTCTTGGTCTGGTCTTGGTCTGGGAGGGTCTGGTCTTGGTCTGGGAAGGTCTGATCTTGGTCTGGTCTTGGTCTGGGAAGGTTTGGTCTTGGTCTGGGAAGGTCTGATCTTGGTCTGGGAAGGTCTGATCTTGGTCTGGTCTTGGTCTGGGAAGGTCTGATTTTGGTCTGGTCGTGGTCTGGGAAGGTCTGGTCTTGGTCTGGTCTTGGTCTGGGAAGGTCTGGTCTTGGTCTGGGAAGGTCTGATCTTGGTCTGGGAAGGTCTGGTCTTGGTCTAGGAAGGTCTGATCTTGGTCCGGTCTTGGTCTGGGAAGGTCTGGTCTTGGTCTGGTCTTGGTCTGGGAAGGTCTGGTCTTGGTCTGGGAATGTCTGATCTTGGTCTGGTCTTGGTCTGGGAAGGTCTGGTCTTGGTCTGGGGAGGTCTGGTCTTGGTCTGGGAATGTCTGATCTTGGTCTGGTCTTGGTCTGGGAATGTCTGATCTTGGTCTGGTCTTGGTCTGGGAATGTCTGATCTTGGTCTGGTCTTGGTCTGGGAATGTCTGATCTTGGTCTGGTCTTGATCTGGGAAGGTCTGGTCTTGGTCTGGTCTTGGTCTGGGACGGTCTGGTCTTGGTCTGGGAATGTCTGATCTTGGTCTGGTCTTGGTCTGGGAATGTCTGATCTTGGTCTGATCTTGGTCTGGTCTTGATCTGGGAAGGTCTGGTCTTGGTCTGGTCTTGGTCTGGGAAGGTCTGATCTTGGTCCGGGAAGGTCTGGTCTTGGTCTGGTCTTGATCTGGTCTTGGTCTGGTTCCTTCACCCCTTTTCTGTATTAGGCCATGTTTAACAGAAACACCAGTTTCACATTAGAAATGACTTTATTTGCATCCGTCTCACCCTCATTACACAGCAGTCCTTTGAAGCCAGGCAGACATTGGCACTGCCCTGTGATGTGATGACATGGTTCTTTACTGTGGACACATTGTGGACAGGTTTGACTGCAGCGATGACCAAAGTAACCTGGTGAGCAGACTACAACAGAATCAGAGGAAACCTTAAGATTAGGACTCTTATGTTTTAACCAAAGGAAAAACTACTGTAAATGCAAAAACATATGAATAAATGTAGCACTGTCACTATCAGACTGTTGGGCTTCAACTGATCAAATGGATGATCTACAAATATAAAACCAATAAGAGGGGTAAAAATGTTAGTCTTTTTAATTCCACCAGTCACCTCTTTGTGGGAAGAAATAAATTAAATAAAATCCATTTCACAGCGTTTCTATTTGGCTTCACCTTTCTTTTGTTAACCGACTTTACACTCAAAGAAGATTTGGATCATTCATCATTCAGGCCTAAATTTAACTGACAGTTGTTACTGGAAACACAGGAATTAATTATTTAGTTAATTCTGAAGATTTATTTTGCCAGAGAGGAATATAATTATTACTAACCATCTTAAAATAATGATCATTAAACATAAAATGATGTTTATGATATGAACATTTGGTCCTTACTTCTGTGACAGAAGGTGCCCCTGTATCCTGGTAAACACTCACAGGTTCCTTTATCTGGGGAGCAAGAGGCCCCATTCTTACAATCACACTGCAGCAAACAGTTTGGGCCCCACCGTCCTTCTTCACACAGACTGCTGCAGTGTGCACCTGTTAACACACAGTTGCACTTTCATTACATCAGGAAACATTTAAGATCAAAACAGGCCTCATATCAACAGGATATATTCTAAGGAGATGACTGTAAAGAAGACGTTCTCTCTATGAATGAAGGAGTTCATCCTGAAGGCTTCAGTAGAAGGAACCAGGACTTCTACAACTTTTAAAGATGCATTGCTTCTTATCCAAAAGGCTTTAGCAGAGTTCTGAATAAGCTTGAGAACAATAGAACTTTACTCAGATTGTTGAGTCTGTAGAGCTGAAGGGCATTCTCTATTCTACCAAACACTAAGAAAATGTCCCTACCTTACTTCAAAGGTCTCACTTTGCTCACTAAAAACAAAACTAACTACTTTCCTATCACTCAGGCCAGATCCACCCACTTTTGGTAATAGTTTGAATAGACAGAGATAAATTGTTCTTTGACTGATAATTAATAGCTCTGCTGATAACCGAGCCTTGATCACTAAATCAGTGGGGATACCTGGATTTTAACAGCCGGTCCAGGAACCATCCAGAGGTGAAAGGCATAAACCCCGGTAAGCAAGCAAATTAGAGCTACAATTATTCAACTAAGAACACTAAATTGATTTCATCTCCAATTTTGTATGACGTCATCCGCACGCGCCGGCTACCGTTCCTTCATCATGTCCACTGTGTTAGTCTGAACAAATTAAAAATGCTCAATTTTGAGAACTTTGTCAAATTTGCTCAGGTAACACTGGTTTACAAATGCTTGCATGATCAGGCCCTGAGGTTTTGAGTGACTGTAGTTCCTCTCAGAGCTGTGGGCTCAGTTACAAGAGGAGCTCACAGTGGAAACTGTACCCAGATGCAAAACTTCCTTCAGACAATCAGCTTTCACTGCTCAAGGCACCAAAACATGGAATACATGACCTGCAGAACTGAAGGGAGAGTCAAACTGGGTCCTTTTTAAACAGAAACTTAAAAACTTTTTATTGAGAGGTCAGACATGTGAACATTAATAATCTAACTGACCTGATCTTGTATCTGTGATGTTTTAGTGTGTTATTTGTTCTGTTGTGCTTTGTGTGCAGTCACTGTGTTTTGTGTAAAAGCCTAACTGGGCACAGGCACTGAGAATTAGCCTTAGCTAATGTTGTAGTGTGTGACATGATTCACGAAACATACTTGTCCCTATCAAATAAATGAATGAATAAATTAATAAATGAACTGCTGCTAGTTTTCCTCACATGCCTAGAAGATGAAGAATGAATGGAAGGTTTAGAGCGTAGCCTCCTGTGGCCCGGGCTGCCTGTCACTACTCCAGTCCGGAGTTGTTACAGGCGGTTATACAAAATCTAACAGTGGATGTCTGGGGGACAGTGATTGGTTCCATGTTCTAAATGCTGGCGTACCATAAAGAATAAATGATGAACAGTTTAGTTTGTGCTTCAAGTCGTTGCCCATAGGAAGACGTTACTGGATATAACAGAATATCCTTAGAGCGGCTTCAAATGACACAAAACTCATATGGGTGAGTAGAACACGATGGAATAACGGAAAATCAAGGGACCAATGGAAAAAAAAAATGGTGTTCCCCTTTAAGGCCAAGTTGGTTTAGAGTTTTATTTTGTATTGCAGTAATAGAAATCATCCATCCACTCGTCTCTTGCTAATTCATCAGGGTGAAGGTGGGGCTGGTGCCTTTCTCCAGCATTCTGTGTGAGACGTGGGATCCACCCTGGACAGGTTGTCAGTCTGTCACAGAAACACAGTGGCACAAAACCACACACTCACACCTAAGGACAATTAAGAGACGGAAATTAATTAACAGTCATGTTTTTGGATTGTGGGAGGAAGCCGGAGTACCCGGTCGGTCCGACCCTTAACCGACCCTTAACAATCATACCCAGGTTTCAGATATTACAGGCTAAATACGGAAGCAAACGACCCATTCATCGGTTATCATTTGCATGTTTCCAAGCAATACAAGGCCTTGTCTATATAAGACTCAAAACGCTCTGCTTCTATAGATCTACGGACTCGTTGGAGGATTCCAGTCAGTTAAAAAGCTTTAGATTCCAGGGTCGGCTCTAACGCTCTGCTTCTATAGATCTACGGACTCGTTGGAGGATTCCAGTCAGTTAAAAAGCTTTAGATTCCAGGGTCGGCTCTAACGCTCTGCTTCTATAGATCTACGGACTCGTTGGAGGATTCCAGTCAGTTAAAAAGCTTTAGATTCCAGGGTCGGCTCTAACGCTCTGCTTCTATAGATCTACGGACTCGTTGGAGGATTCCAGTCAGTTAAAAAGCTTTAGATTCCAGGGTCGGCTCTAACGCTCTGCTTCTATAGATCTACGGACTCGTTGGAGGATTCCAGTCAGTTAAAAAGCTTTAGATTCCAGGGTCGGCTCTAACGCTCTGCTTCTATAGATCTACGGACTCGTTGGAGGA